ATTATGTAATAGGTATCTATTCTGGTGGTCATAATTCATCTATTGGTACGTAATACAATGGCAGTGAGTTCCAACCACACGCTTAGAATTTCCACCAAACAAAATGAGATGCAAAAATATGTGTAATAACTCAGTTAATTTATTGTAGAAAAAGAAACGTGGAAGTGGGTACACGAGATATAAAACAGCAAGGCAAAAAGAATCTCATGCCAAGATCCCACAGTCAAAAAGTACCAGAGGTGGTACAGAAAAAGGAAACAAAGCAAAACCTCCCCTCCTACATGGTAACTGAACAAGTAATGTTCTATACACCAATTATTTTGGTGTATAGAACATGCCCCTGCAGCCTCACTGCTCAGTCCTCTGCCATTTAGGAATTAAATCCCTTTGTTTATGAACCCTAGTCACACCTCCCTGCATGTGACTTGCACAGCCTTCATAAACACTTCCTGTAAACAGAGCCCTATTTAGGCTTTCTTTATTGCAAGTTCTGTTTAATTAAGATTTTCTTATCCCCTGCTATGTTAATAGCTTGCTAGACCCTGCAAGAGCCTCCTGTATGTGATTAAAGTTCAATTTAGAGATTGAGATACAATTATTTAAGGTAAATTACATCTGTTTGAAAGTGAAACCAGTTTTTTTTTCATGCAGGCTCTGTCAATCATAGCCAGGGGAGGTGTGGCTAGGGCTGCATAAACAGAAACAAAGTGATTTAACTCCTAAATGACAGTGAATTGAGCAGTGAAATTGCAGGGGAATGATCTATACACTAAAACTGCTTTATTTAGCAAAAGTAATTTAGGTGACTATAGTGTTCCTTTAACTGTCACATATATATATATAACGCATTGGATTTATAACATGTACCAAACACCAATAAAAATCATATTTACGAAAAAAAGGGCAACAGAAGATTTCTGGGACTAATAATTACAGCACAATCTATCGAGTGTTTCTTTAAGGAACTCCCATTTGGAAGAATTTGGAAGAATAAATGTTTTGTGTATAGGTTTTATCTATGTATCTATGTATCCAAAGTTTGATCTTGAATGGAATATATGTTCTGTATTTTCAAAAGTTCATGCACTGGCCTTCCTTTCTACCCACACTTCAATGGGCCTCGGTCAAAAGAGTAATACATCAAAGATTAAGTCTTTTGAAAGAGCAAGCTGGATTTCAAGCTCTAACAGTGCTGAAATGATCCTCCTGTCATTATCTGGTATGCGCTGAAACATTTTGGTTTAATTAAACAGAGATATTTAAAACAACAGTGTCGATTTGACCATTATTTGTAAAGAGTTGTATATGGAGTATGTTGACTATTTATATACCCATCGTGTTAGTTGATGGTCATTTCCATAAATATCACTTTTAGAAAAAAAAAAATCATTTGCAGGACATGGAACCACTTCTACATATTTTTAAGTGTTTAAATTGATATTTCTTTGCCACTAGCACACGTGTAAAGACCCGGATGCATATGCAAACGGATCAGTATACATAACAGAAACAGATTCATGCAAATACACATGCAGTAGTTTTCTACAGAGAAAAACCTCCAATACATAAAGGCAGAAATAAAACAAGACAAACAAAAAAAAATCCTATTTTCCAAATATTTTTTCCCAAACTTCTATTCATACAGAGTTAAATGCACACACAAGAATGCAGTCTCTTGCTGACAGTAAGCCTGTCAATCAGAGAGGAAATATGTGTCCCTAAACAGTCAATGCACAAAGGAAACCTATAACTAATATTTGAGGGGTGCAGGATATCGGAGTCATTATAAGGAAATATTAATGCACGCACCCTTAAAAAGTACATGTTCTACATTAAAAGGCATGAACTACAAAGTTTCCTTCACATTTGTATACATTGAATCTAGGATACATTTAATGTAACAATATAATGTCAATAAGCAGAGAGAAAGCCAAATAGAAGGTCCTTGTAATGTTATTGTGAAATATCAACATTCACTCTGCAGTAATGGGGCTAAAGAACGCACAAAGCCAAAAACGGTTTACATAATGCTCTATGCAGTATTAAAAAGATACGTCATTTCTTCTCACCGTATAACAATTTATCACTTAAAGGAAATGATTTATTCTTTAGAGAAATGGACCATTTGAACAGAATACCACATGGTAATGTCACAAGTCAAGTGTCAACACATTTTTTATATATACGGTTTTCATACTGTGCCAACCCAATGTTATGCAATACTTAGGCAACCATATCCCATAAAGATAATGAATACCAGGGGGTTGACATTGAATAGGGCCAAAGGATGGAGACAGGAAACACTAAGCAATGTTTACAGCTCACTAAAAACCAAACTGGTTTGTGAGTAGAATTCCTTGTAACTGTTTGGCTGTAAAGGGAAAACATGCAAATACCTACATTTAAGCAACACTGAAGGTGTAACCCCTTAATCAACTCACTATCTAAGGCAAACTGTTGAAAAAGACTCTGCAAAAATGCCTAACATTTTTGGAGCACACAATTAATGCAATGCATGATCAGTGTATGACACAAGTAGCCAGTGTTGCTAATGTGAAGAGCAATCATGCAGCACTTTTCTTTTTGATGGTTTGTTTTCTGAGGGACTTGGGATACTAGACCCATGATATTACATTGGAATTGTTCAGCAAGATCTTGGATTTATTTCTGTAATTTTTACCCATTTATGTGCAGAAACAACATGGAGAACACAAATACAATGCATTTACAGTCAAAGAGGTGTGAGGGATTTTGGCACCCCAGATATTTTTATTAAAGGGTCACTATAGTCACCAATACAACTACAGCTTATTGCACTTGTTCCGGGGAGTAGAGTCATTCCCTTTAGGCTTTTTGCAGTAAACACTATTTCCAGAGAAATGCAGTGTTTACATTACAGCCTAGTGATAACTCCACTGGCCACTCCACAGAGGCTCCTAGAGGTGCTTCCTGGGGCAGTGCTGTACAGTGAGCAGCACTGCCATTCAGTGTCTCCACCCTCTGCATGCAGACACTGAACTTTCCTCATCGAGATGCATTGATTCAATTCATCTCTATGAGGAGATGCCGATTGGCCAGGGCTGTGTTTGACTTGTGCTGGCTCTGCCATTGATCTACCTCCTTACAGACTCAGCCAATCCTATGGGGAAGCATTGTGATTAGTGCAGACCAATACTTCTGATGATGTCAGCAGACAGCAGGCTATTTTAGAGACAGATTTAGAGCAGCTGCAACTTGAATTCAAGTAAGATTTTACTATATTTAAGGAAGCAAGAGTGGGCCAGGAGGGCAGTGCTCCCTGCAGGGTCTGCCCTCCGTGTGCTGGCCCTGGTCTGGCTGACTGGGTCAGTGACATCAATAAATTTCACATGTATTCCTATCACCATTTTGTATTAATAATATATAAGACTACATGTTCTTCCTACAGTCCCTTTCGCTCACTTTAATTTGTAAGAAATTCAAATCAGATGAACTGTCATCACATCACCTATACCAGCAATTGCAAACCTCTGGCACACCAAGCCCTCTCTGAATGCTAGGTACCTCCTCTTGATTCACTCGAGGATAAGTTCTCCCTCGCGGCTCCGGCACTCAGTAATGACTCAGAGCGCAGCCGAGGAGATTCCCAGCCTGCACTCTGAGTCATCACTGAGCGCCAGAGTTGCGATGGAGAGCTTATTATAGAGTGGATCTATAAGCTCTGAAAGGATTAGCCCGGGAAGCAGCCACGAGCTAATACACTGCTGCCAGGTATGTGCCAGTGAACTGACTTTTTACTATGTGGGTTCTAGTGAATTGAGCTTGTGTGTATGTATGTCTGTGTGTATGTGTGTTAGTGAGCATGTATGTATGTGTGTGTGTATGTATGTGTGTCAGTGAGCACATTTGTCTGTGGGTATGTGAGCATGTGTGTAGGGAGCTTGTGTGCATGTATGTCTGTGTGTATGTGTCAGGGAGCGTGCGTGTATGTATGTATGTGTGTGTGTGTGTGTGTGTGTGTGTGTGTGTGTGTGTGTGTCAGTGAGCTTGTGTATAGTGACCTTGTGCATGTGTGTCTAAGCTTGTGTGTAGTCAACTTGTGTCTAGGAGCTTGTGTGTAGTAATCTTGTGAATGTGTGTCAGTGAGCTTGTATATAATGACCATGTCTCTGTGTGTCTGAGCTTGTGTCTGTGTGTGTGTGTGTGTGTGTCAGTGAGCTTGTATATAATGACCATGTCTCTGTGTGTCTGAGCTTGTGTCTGTGTGTGTGTCAGTGAGCTTCTGTGTAGTAACCCTGTGTCTGTGAGCTTGTGTGTAGTAACCTTGTGACTGTGTGTATGTTTGTCAGTGAGCTTGTGTGTAGTGACCTTGTGCCTGTGTGTGTCACTGAGCTTGTGTGTAGTAACCTTGTGTACTAGTGAGCTTGTGTATAGTAACCTTGTGTCTGTGTGTATGTGTGTCAGTGAACTTGTGTGTAGAAACTTTGTGCGGTTTAATTGCCGTGTTGGCACTTTGAGGAAAAAAAGTTGGTTTGTATTGCGGTTTGGAGACACTGGCTCATAACTGTTCGCCATCACTGACCTATACATTGCTTCACACACATGTGGATTTGTATATGTGTGTACACACACACACACACACACACACAAGCGCATGAGTACAAAAAACAGGCTGACAGAGGAGATCGATCCACTCACCGAAGGAAACCAGGAAGACTCTGCGGAAGTGGGGTATACAGGTGGACTCACCGCCCTCCCATACCTTGACCCCAGCCCAGCTGTCCCCGGCCTGGAAACGGGTGAAACTTTAACGAGCATTGTCAAACCAGGCTGGACCTCAGCAGAGACTGCTACCGCCATTCATCCACCACAAGTATACCTGTGACCCCAGCACTTACCACTAGTACTGCAGGTAGCACAGCATACACTCATCACAGAAGTGTCACGGTTCTCACCATGACATCCAGATGGCCAGATGTGGTCGCCCCAGAAGTGCCCAACAGGGGATTTAAACCTGGGTCCTTTGCTGTCCTGGGCCTGCTATACTGCCTTTCAGCCACAGCAGTTCCTATTCTTTGGAGTATTTCTAGCCCTGTTCTAACTGGCTAGTTTGCAGCACTGGGGTCTGGAGTTTGTCTATTGCTGTGCTTCACCTGAGACAGATCAGTAATCAGCTGGGTATATAAGCACTGCCTCGCCCTAGCAACCTTATCAAGTCTTTGATGCTGTTGTGTGTGTTCAGTTCCTGTGTTTCAGTTTCTTGAACTTTTACTCAAAACTGACCCCGGCCTGTCTTATCCTGATCTCTGGTAACCCTTGACTTCGGCTACACTTCCTTAATCCTGACCTCTGGCATCCTTTGACTTCAGCTATCCCCTGACTAGCCTGCTGTTTGTGTCCTTGTCGTTACTGCATTGGAACCACCTTTCCTGCACATCCCCCATGCACAGATTCACAATCTAGGTGGCTTCTTATCTGTTCACTTTGGACTGTGTCTATCTGAAAAGGTGAGCAAACATATCTGCGCTACAGACTCCCATCTCAGGTAAGAACCCTGACAAGTAGCTAACGATTAGCTAAAGGACATATATGTGAGTCCCCTAGATGCTGCCTAAGTAAGAGTAAGAGTAAGGGTAGTAGCCCGATAGAGATTTGTATTTCTACAGCATGTTGCATACTAATTAGTTATTAACCTTTAAAAAAAATTAAATTGTTATAAAAATATATATATATATATATATATATATATATATATATATATATACATATACATATACATACACACACACACACAAATTTCTGCGCTTACCATCAGATTAGGGCACATGAATAAAGTAGCTCACATCCCTTGGTATCCCTAGAGTGTTTGTGGGTATACATTTTAGGCAGTGCCTTGAAGAGTCTCCAGCATGCCGGATTTACATAGGAAGCTCCTGTTATTGCATACTTTGTTTATTTTATACTGTTAACCACGAGTCTCATATGTACCAATTTCATGGTACACAGCCCTTGATAGAGCAAACTGTTTTTCCTGTTCCCCTTGTTGTTTTGGTTTTTACCTCCCCACCCCCCATGATGGGTTCCACAGATCGCCCTGGCTGATGTGGGTCGCACTCCGCGGCACGTGTGCCACACAGGTCAATCAGGTTGGCACCCTCCTTACCATGATGGCTCCCCAAGTCCACAGTCTCCCGAGACCCCTAGGTCAATCATTTATTTTGAACCACCAAGGTCTGCTCCGCTAGGGAACAACCCACCTACCCATGATGCCAGATTTGCCATGCACATGGCCATGAACTATTACAAATCGAAGAGAGATAATACCTCTAATTAAATATGAAGATATATTGTCACAATGTCTAAGGGCTTAAAACCCTGGTAAAAAGATACCGTGTTGCTAGGGTACTACGGAACGTGCAGCCTGAGGTGGTATGCCTACAAGAAACCCATTTTAAAAAAGAATCTCTCATACAACAGGTTCCCACATCAATACCATGCCACCTACCATTCAAAATAAAGAGGGGTATCCATCCTGATAAGTAATGCAGTGGCCTTTGAACAACACCAAGGCACCATAGACATGGAGGGCAGGTTTTTCATTTTGGTATGTACCATTAACAACCTAGAATATACACTAGTGAACTTGTACGCACCTAACTCCGGCCAACAAAACTTCATGCATAGGGTCCTGACACGTCGGACAACAGTCCAGAGGAGTATCGTGATCATATGTGGGGATGTCAACCATGTACTGGACCCCACCTTACACACCACAGTGCGCACAGGCACCCCCCGATACACCCAACTCTACCGAGCATGGAAACCACTGGTTAAGCTGCTGAGGGAACATGATGTCTCTACGATGTATGGAGGACCCTCAATCCAAACAAGAGGGAGTTTACCCCCTGCACACAGAACTCATATTCTAGACTAGACCACTTCCTCATACCAGGTACATATCTAGACCAGGTACTCCACTGCTCTATACACACCATGGCATGGTCAGACCATGCCCTGATGACTCTCACAGTTAAAGACTCCTACGACTTCAAAAACCGAAGTCCGTGGAGACTAAATGAAATGTTAAATGACCCCAAGCATGTAGAGACAGTATTTTTGGTCATAACAGAATACTTCTCCACTAACCACACCCCAGAAGTGAGCCCGAATACACTCTGGCTGACTCACAAGTCAGTAGTTCGGGGAATATTAATCCGTAGAGCGAGTGAGCTCAAAAGGAAATCCCAGACTAAGCTCCGGGAATGGCAGAAACAGCTGCATGACCTGAGCGGGCGGAATCGGGTATCACCAGAACCTGATCTTAAATCTCAAATCCAATAAATTTTAAAAAAAATTAGGGAACTAGACATAAAAAAAAAATGGGTTTCGGACTTAAAAACTAAGGGCACAGCACTATGTCCAAGGTAACAGGGCAGGCAAATTGTTGGCTAAAAGACTAGCTAATAGACAAGCAGCTTCCGGGGCCCGACAGCTTCTCCAACATATAAAAAATTCCAATCCAACCTAACACCACACTTGACAAGGCTCTTCAACTGCGCCTCTTTATCGGCCACACTCCATAAAGAAACGTTATCCGCACATATAATTGCACTTCCCAAACCTGGGAAGCCCCCTACACATAGTCAAAACTTTCGGCCAATCTCTCTACTTAACAAAATTATACGCCAAGATCTAGGCCACGAGATTAAATTCCATACTTCCATTTCTAGTCCACGATGACCAGGTGGGGTTCACCCTGGGTAGGCAGGGGTCGGATAACACCCGCAAGGTGGTAAGCCTTATGCACAGTTTGCACAGGTAGAGGGGGGGAGGCCTTCTAGTTTCACTTGACGCCGAGAAGGCGTTCAATTGCCGAAACTGGACCTTCTTAACAGCAGACCTAGAAAAATGTGGTTTCCCGTAGCAGTTTATCAATGCGATACAGGCACTTTACTTAGACCCATCGGCGAGGGTTGTAAACTCTGGATTTGTCTCATCACCCCTGTTCAAAACAAATGGGTCCAGACGGGGCTGTCCCCTCTCCCCTTTATTGTACGTGTTGGCGTTGGAACCGCTGGCAGCCAACATAAGAGCGAACACGGCAGTACATGGCATCAAACTAGGGTCTAGGGAATACAAGCTTAATCTCTTTGCGGATGATGTCCTGTTAACTCTTACCCAACCAATGATATCCCAAGCTTATGCACCTGATAACTGAATATGGTACACACTCCTACTATAAACTGAACATAGCAAAGTCCCAGGCTATGGGGGTCAACATAGATTCTAACCTTCGAGAGAGAGACTCAGAGAGGCTTTCCCTCTCAACTGGCGTTCGGACAATATCACCTTCCTGGGCCTGAGACTTCCCAAAAATATGGCACACCTTTTTAAAGAAAAATATGTTGGGCTTATACACAAATTTACTGAAACACTCAAGATATGGAAAGGGAGGTTCCTCTCCTGGGTGGGACGGATAGCAGCAATAAAAATGGTACTCCTGCCCAAAATCCAATACTTGTTCAGGACATTACAATTACCTATACCGAAACACTACTTAAAGAATGTCCAAAACCTATTTGTCAAATGTATCTGGGATGGAGGCAGACCTAGAGTAGCAACGCAATTATTGCAACAATCAATGGAGAATGGGGGGTCTGGGTTTCCCAAACCTTGTTGCCTACTACCGAGCTGCCACCCTACACAACATAGCACAACTCTAAATGAGAACAAACACACTCCAGTGTGGATGCCCCAGAGGGAACTTGAGGCACTTTTATGGGTGCTGAAAATACTACGTCCACATATGCACAATATTCTCCTGACCACTAAGCACATGCTCCATGTATGGGATCAAATAAGGGATCGGATGACTTTGGGCCCACACACCTCCCTAGCCACACCGATTAAGTCAATGAGCTTCATCATAGCTACCTTTAACTGTGAGGTTTGTATAAACGGAGGGGTGTCTCACCTACACCAAATATGCAAGGGGGGATCCCTACTCCCTTTACCGGACATACAAACACAACATAGATCGGGCTTCTCCTACCTCCAACTTAAATAATTTCTGGCACATGCCCCACATGTGGTGTCATGCACAGGGGAAGATACTACTCTGTCAGCCTTCAAACTCATCTGCACGCACAAGAGACCCCCTAAGAAACAAATGCCAATGGGCTATGCCCTGCTAAACAAAACTGAGGCGGGTGCAACCCAGAAATTTAGAGACCAATGGCAAAAAGAGTTGGGTTACACAATAGATAATAAATGGGAAACAGCCTTAAGGGCACATAAGGGCCTGACCTCATGCGCAACACACATCGAACTGCAACTTAAGATACTCTACAGGTGGTCCATGGAACCGGAAAAATTTCATAAGATGTGACCCTCCTCATCCAAAACATGCTGGAGCTGCAAAGAGGAGGTGGGCTCCATGATTCACATGAGGAGGTCATCTAAGACTCTTAAACGCTTTTGGTCGCAGGTCAAAATCACAGGACACAGCAGGCTAGACAACCCAGATACATGCTTGTTATTCATGTTCCCGGCAGAGTTGCAGGTACACGAACGAGCCATCCTATACCAGGTCTTGATATCTGCACACTTCGCCCCCGTTGGGCAGACTTAATTTCCCAGGTTGAGTTGAAGTGGGTCTGCGAATCCATGGCCAAGCAACAACTCTGCCCTAGTAGGGTGATCAGGAAAGCTAGAAAGACTTGGGCCAAGTTTATGCAAACAGACCCATGTAATTGAACACTCCATGTTTTTTGGGGGGTGGGGGAAATCTGCAGTGGAGAGTAGCAGGAAAGCACCCCAATAACCCATCTTATCCCCCTCTCCTATTTCCTCTTGATCTCCCTCAACACACACCCAAGTTGCAGCACTTGGAGCAACGCTACAACCTATCCCCTACCCCTTTTCGTTCTACCGTTATGCCATTGTGGGCATTCAGAGGTTGTTATTGCAAGTTTGCTCGTGGAAAACACGTATGTAACCGTGACTGTAACCTGTGATTAATCAATGCTACTTCCTGATGGTTCCCTGTGTGGAACTCAAGTCCATGTGCAACAGCTACACTTCATAACCTTGCAATCACTATCCAATGTGATTCTGAATGTTCACAATAAAAATTGTCAAATTGGAATTAAAAAAAAAAAGTGTTACTTGGACAAAAAATTATCTCCAATTATCAGCAGTTCAAAGGCCCCAAAAATGATCATGCTTCCAAGAC